AAAAAAAAAAAAAAGATAAAAGTAGAGAGACGATGAATACTGTGAAAAAGCAAATACTATGGTCTGGATTTTTACACACAAAATACAAAGCTGTTTGGGGTGCTACACACCCATAATCTCAGAGCTAGGGAAGCTGAGGCAGGAGAACCGTCAAAAGTTCCAGGTCAGCATGTGCTGCTGTATAGTAAACTCCCGTGTCAAGCAGTTGGAGGGCCGGGGGACCACTGAGTGTGGCAGCCTAACCAGAAGATTGTTTCCAGATCTATCTAGCAGCCAGGTGGCGAGTGACTTTATGGAAAGACTGCAGGAGATCAGGGAAGAGGTGGTACAAGAAGCTGGGTGAGGTGGCGCACACCTTTAATCCCAGCACTCGGAAGGCAGAGGCAAGTGGATCTCTGTGAGTTCAAAGCCAGTCTAGTCTACTTAGATGCAGGACAGCCATGGCTGTATGAGACATTGTCTCAAAAAAAAAAAAAAAAAAAAAAAGGAAGAAGCCATTGGTAGTTTGAAAAGGATGGCATGGGGGTAGTGTCACTTAGCAAGCAATAGACAGATCCAAGCTGTGCACAGCGCTCTCTGCGGTGGCAGCTGCCAGCCTGGCATAGCAATTAATCACTTGAAATGTAGCTAGTGCAACCAAGGAACTCAATTTTGTCTTGTTAATTAGTTGACATTCAAATAGTCACATAGGGCTGGGAAGCTGCCCTGTTGGATGCACAGGCCTAGAAAGACATTGACAGAGATTTAGAGAGAAGACTGCCTAGGGTCCTCTGTGGGGTAACATCCTGAGCCAGTGCCCCAGTGTCCCACAAGGGGTATCTCCTAGTTGTTGTGGGGAGGGAGGCTGAAGTCAAGCACCCCTTTCTCCCGTGTGGAGGGGACCTGCCTGGACTGAAGGATAGCATGGATAATTTCCCTGGGCCAGCTGTCACGATGGCTGCTGCACACTCGGATAAACCCCACACGTTAGAAGGATGTTGGCTGGTGGCATCCCACAAGACAGGTTTTATTACTTTTCCATGTCCCCAATTGGATGGGCTGGTATGTACCTGTAATACCAGCAAGACATGGAAGTTGGAGGCAGATGGGTCAGGAGTTTAGGACTAGACTGGGATACATGAAACCCTGTCTCAAAAAACAACCCATATACATGTGTGCATGCATGCGTGCGCGCGCGCGCACACACACACACACACACACACACACACACACACACACACACACATTTAAAAAAAAGTTAACAAGGCAAGTCTGACCTGGTGGCACATGCCTTTAATCCCAGCATTTAGTAGGCAGAAGGGGGTTGAATCTCTGAGTTTCAGACCGGCCAAGGCTTACATGGTGAGACTGTCTTTAAAAACAACAAAACAAACAGGTTAAGAGCACTGGCTGCTCTTCCAGAGGACCTGAGTTCAATTCCCAGCAACTACATGACAGCTCACAACTATTTGTAACTCCAGTCCCAGGGGATGTGGTGCCCTCTTCTGGACTCCAATGGCACCATACGCATGTGGTGCATAAACATACATTCAGGCAAAACACACCCATGAAATAAGTCCAATTTGAAAAGTTCAATGCTGCAGATTTAACCAGGGTCCTTTCTGCAAAGAAGATCCTAGCCAGTGCGCTTAACCACCAAGCTATCTCTCCACGCCCCCCCAAAGAAGTTCATTTTTAAAAACTGTTTACATTTATGTGTATCAGTGTTTTGCACCACATGTGTGTCTGGCACCCCCAGACATCAGACTGGGATTTCAGATCCACTGAAACTGGAGTAGTGGATGGTTGTGGGCCACCATGTGGGTGCTGGGAACAGAACCTGGGTCCTTTGGAAGAGCAGCAAGCGCTTTTAACTGCTGAGCCATCTCTCTAGTCCCAGTAAATCAATTAAGACAACAACAAATGAATGAATGAAAACCTAGCCACTAGGGTAAAGGTTAGCAACTGAACTATCACTTATATTTGCTGAGAGAGGGAAAATCAGTTTTTTCCAATAGTATATCAGCCTGGGTCTATCAGCTGCTCCAGGACAGGCCTCATGTTCAGGAGGAGTTGACCAACCAATATATAATGGACTCCATTGGGGTTTTTTTATGCTTTTATTTGTTTTTTTGGGGGGGCATGTGTGTGGTTTTGTTTTCTTGGTTTTGGGGGTGTTTGTTGTACTGTGTTTTTGTTTTTTGAGAAAGGACTTAAAGTTGTATGAGTTCAAAGGGGAAGAATGTGATCAAAATATATTTAAATTTAAAAATTGCTTTAATGAAAAATATAATAAAAAAGCAACTCTCAAATAACTAATAAAATTTTTTAACTAAAGAAAGAATAAAAATAAACGAAAGAAAGGAAAATGAAAAGATGTTGATGTTCCAGGTGGAGACTCAGCTCCCACAGGTGACTTGTCTAAGTCACACAGTGAGGGACACAGCAGAGGTCTGAACTTGTCTTACCTGCCTCTGGTGCCCATGACTTTAGGAACTGTGCTTTGGTGGAGCTGGCTGAGAATGTAAAACCAGGCATGTAAAACCAGAGGGAACCTACGTCCTGTTACCAATGGGAGACCAAGGGTGTAAATTACCCTGACTGACTGGAGTGCAGGCTGGCACCGCCCAGAAATGAGGACAGGGCTGGACAGGCGCCTTCTGGACCTCCGCGTTCCTTATAGTAGATGGACATCATGTTTATACAAAGGTGGCTGAGTGAGGGTCACTGATGAGCTCTAAAGGTGATCCATTCTCTGTGGGAATTTTTAAAAGATAGATACCTTTGCATGGTGACTCAAGGTGGCGTGTAATCCCGGCTGGTTCCTGGACTAGGGAAAAAAAAAAAAAAAGCTGACCTTTCTGGTGAAGTGGGTGAAACCTGAATTCAGAGTGGATCAAGGACGGGGTCAGTGTGACTTGCTGGGCTTGGTGCCAGGACCAGGACAAGCTATTCTGAGGCACTCTGTTGTGAGAGCAATGGGGGGTTGCCTGTGTGCAGTTGATCAAGCAGGTGAGCCACACACAAACAGGGACGCTCAGAAGGGTTCTCTGCATTCTCCCGTGCAGTCTCTCTGGAAGTTTAAAACAGTTGACAAAACACGTTTTCCGACTAGGCATGATGGTGTGCCCAGCACACAGGCAGGTACACTCAGCAGAGGCAGGCAGGTGGCTGTGTGTTTGAGGTTAGCTTGGTTCATATAGAAAGTTCTAGGCTAGCCAGGGCTGCATAGTAAGATCAAACTGGGTGGCGGCAGTGGCCCACGCCTTTAATCCCAGTACCTGAGAATCAGAGGCAGGCAGATCTCTGAGTTTGAGGCCAGCCTGATCTACAGAGGAAGTTCCAGGACACCCATGGCTGCACAGAGAAACCCTTGAAAATAAATAAGGGGGTTGGGGATTTAGCTCAGTGGTAGAGTGCTTGCCTAGCAAGCACAAGACCCTGGGTTGGATCCTCAGCTCCAAAAATAAATAAATAAAATATAAAAATTGAGTTGCCTCCAAATTTCACAAAAGCATAATGAGCCACATCCAGGCCCAGCTTCTAGGTTCTGATTGGACTGGACCTATGGAAGGCTGTGTCTGGGACTGTCACATGTCCCCAGGTGGGCCCCAGGTGCAATGGGAGCTGACTGCCCCTGTGAGATGTGGTGATCAATGTGCCTGTTCCTACCTTATTAGCATTTGCAAGAATGGGCAGGAGGAATCCAGGCAGCTGCCCCAGAACCAAGGAGGCTGGAGCCAGCACAAGCTTCTGGGCCTTGGAGATATCTGAATGGCAAACCTCCCAGATCTGAGTCTCAGGCTTGACAGGCGAGGGAACACTCCCGTCCACGACAGAATGGCTGCAGTTTAGTTCTCGGTATCAGTCCAGCTGAGGTTTGATGGCGTATAATCTATTCCCTCTTTCCCCATCCTGTCCACTTTATAAATACGGGAACTAGGCCCTGAGGTCATCCCCCACCCCATCAAAGGCCAGACAGGGCCCCCAGGCAGACAGGGATTCACGTCTCTGCTCCCTCTCTGGTTTCAGGGCAGGAAGACTATGATCGTCTGCGGCCTCTGTCGTACCAGAACACACACCTCGTTCTCATCTGCTACGATGTCATGAACCCCACCAGCTACGACAATGTCCTCATCAAGGTAAAGTCCCGCCTGCCTCTTGAGAGTAAGGGTCAGCTGCAGAGTGGCCTCGGCCCTGATAACCCTGCTTTCTCCCTCCTCAGTGGTTCCCCGAAGTCACCCATTTCTGCAGAGGGACCCCCATGGTTCTCATCGGCTGCAAGACAGACCTGAGGAAGGATAAGGAGCAGCTGCGGAAGCTCCGGGCAGCCCAGCTGGAGCCCATCACCTACACACAGGTGGGTCAGGGTCCCAGCCACCACTCAGGTCCACGACCCCTCAACTGCCATAGCCAGAGACCACCGAGGCCTTGGTCTTCTCAACTGGAGTGCCTTAGCAGGCACTTAGGAGTCATTCGAAAAACCAAAAACAAACATAAAAAACCTAATATGGTACACACCTTTTTTGTTTGTTTTGGTTTTTGTTTTTCGAGACAGGGTTTCTCTGTGTAGCTTTGGAGCCTGTCCTGGAACTCACTCTGTAGCCCAGGCTGGCCTCGAACTCACAGAGATCCGCCTGGCTCTTTCTCCCTAGTGCTGGGATTAAAGGCATGTGTCACCACCGCCCAGTGGTGCACACCTTTAATCCCAGCCCTCGGAAGGCAGAGGCAGGCAGATCTGAGTTTGGGCTGAGTTTGAGGCCAGCCCAGTCTACGGATTGAGTTCCAGGACAGCCAGGGCTACACAGAGAAACCCTGTCTCAAAAAACCAAACCAACCAAACAAACAAAAACTAATAGTCTATGTATAATGATGCGCATTTAATCCCAGCACTCAGGAAGCAGAAGCAGGCGGATCTCTGTTGAGTTCAAGGCTAGCCTGGTCTACATAGCAAGTTCCAGGTCAGCCAGGACTACACAGTGAGACCCTGTCTCAAATAAATAGAAAGGAATAGGCACTAATAATGGTAAAACCAAGGTTTTTATTTCACTTCACCAGCAAACTCGGTCATTGAGTTTGGAACCGACAAGGAACAGAAGCCTGAGATATAGATAACCCCAGTTCTCACAATTCAGCTCCCCTTCTGCTGAAAGCCAGGGAGAGGACAGGTGGGGGCCAGCAAGGGGTTTCCTCCATCCAGCCATGCAAACCCCAAACTGGCCAGCACTCAAGCTTGTTTTCCAGCTCTGGAGAGCCTCCAAAGCTAGCCCAAACTCCTAAGACTCTGGGGGTGGGGTGGTGTGTGTGTGTGTGTGTGTGTGTGTGTGTGTGTGGTCAGGAGGCACCAGGCCCTCATCTAATGAATACTGCCTCCCCCCACCCCCTCCCAGGGCATGACTGCCTGCGAAAAGATGCGAGCCGCACTCTATCTGGAATGTTCCGCCAAGTTTCGGGAGAATGTGGAAGACGTCTTCAGGGAAGCTGCCAAAGTGGCCCTCAGTGCCCTGAAGAAAGCACAGAGGCAGAAAAAACACAGGACCTGCCTGCTGCTGTGACCCTGGGGCTGACAGCCCCGAGTGGAACTGTTGTGGAACTGTTGTGGAACTGTTGTGGCCAGGGACCCGGCTGGGGGATTTTGTCCCATCAGAGGCCCGTAGTGCCTGGCCATCGGGGGCTGGACTCCTGGAACGTTCTGGACCCGTCCCCCTTGGGTTCACGCTGTAGTTCCATGGTGAATGACTGGCGCCAGGCCCACCCATGTTCCTCCGCCCTGGGGCTGGCACTTGTCCCCAGGTCGCAGGGGGGCCCTCGTAACGGCTCCTTCTTATCCCAGTCATGCGTGTTTCCCTCTCCAAACCCAGTTCATGCTTGGAGCTCAGAAGGGCATGGAGATGTGGGCAGATGCGGGTATGCAATGCTGTTCAGAGTGCCCAGCCCGTTCCCCTGACGCTGTCTCCCTGAGCTCCTGAGATAGGCTCAGCGACATCCTCCAGCCCTATCCCTTCTTCCCCTCAGGAACCCAGGGCCACAGCCTATCAGGAGACCACAGGCAGCGAGCCGGACATGGGGCTGGCACCAGCTGCTCCCTCTCTACCGCACTCAAGACTTCTGTCTTGGCCTGAGACACATGTTCAGGGGAGAAGAAACAATCTCTCAAAAGGCCAAAATATACTCAGGCCAGCCAGGCCCCCCATCTGATCCCTGCTCCAGGTCTCACCTCCAAATCCCCAGCTGACTTCCACTGGGGACCCCTGGTGGACAGTGCCCACGCCCCCATCGGGGGCCTCGGGCCAATGGGCTCTCTCCTTAGACCATTCCCCATCTGTCAATGGCCAGGACTGGGTCATTTAAGTAGTGAAGTTCCTCATCTTCCACCCTAGTCTCTGCTTCTACCAGGATGTGGGGCTCAGGAATGGACTGTCCCTGCCTCCCTCCAGAACTGACATGACAGCCTCTGGCTATACGGGACAATTTTCCAGAACTGGTCTGCTGACCACCAGTGTTTACCACATCAAGATTCTTGAATTCTGACACTCCTTCTGGAAAGTCTAGGGTCTGCGGTTCAGAACTTTTCAAGCCAAGTATCCCAGGTGGCTTTAGCGCCCCCAAGAGGAAGTCAGCATCTCCCAAGAAACCATGGCCTTGGCTGGCCCATCTGTCCCAATACCTCTTGACTCAGCCTGTAAAGTCAGGTTGCCAAGGAAAGAGACTTCTGGTCCCCTTCCCCAAGTGCCCCTAGGCCCTGCTGTCCCCTGCAGAGCCAAGCAAGGACCTCTTGTTCTCTCAGAATCCAAGGCCTTGTGGATAAATTATCGTGTATGTACGGCAGAGGTCAACAAACCACAGCCTGTGGGCCACACATGGCCACTGCCTGTTTTTGTGAATAAAGTTTTATTGAACCGCCACGATTCGACAAGGGCAGTTTCTGCTCCACACCTGTAGGCTGGAGTTACCACAGGACTAGCCCACAAAGCCTAAAATACTATCATCTGGGCTTTCATGGGAAAAGTTTGCTGACTCCTCATCTGGGGCAGTCCTGGGTACCTGTGAAGGACAGGCCAGGGGACCCAAGGACAGGAGACCAAGGACAGAGGTAGGGCAGGGATGGAGGGAGGGGCAGGTTGAGGCAAACAGGAGCAGGTGCCTGATCTTGCTCTTTGGGAATGTTGCCAGGTCTTTCCATTTTTGTAAGGTAAACAGAAATCTGGATTCTTAGGTGGACTCTCAGTGTGGGGGAGGCGAGATCTCGTTTTTATCACAGAACTCAAGAATTTAAAACTCCTGTGAGGACCAAATGAAGCATGTCGGAGGACGCCAGCTGTGAAGTCGGGTCTGAGCGGGCAGCTGAGGCCCATGGGTGGGAAGGGGCAGAACATTCAGCTGGACCTGTTTGCGCCTCCACCCTGGCTGCTGCCTGGATCTCACGGGGTCGCAACAGCCCTTCCCAAACATACAAGACCCTCTGCCTGCGGTGGGGAGGCAGGGGATGAATGACCTCCCTAACGACTTAAGTTCCAGTCACACCGGGTTAAGGGCTCACAGCAAGCTTGTGAAGAAAGGCTGAATGAAGGGCAGCAGTGAGAAAACCTTAAGAGCCCCCTGGATCGCAAAGAACCCAGAGGCCGGGCGCCCTCTGGTGGAGACCATCCTTAAAACCCTGCCGCCTGCTCCGAGGGGAACAGACCTCTAGGTCCAGAGTAGGTTGCGCCCCTTGTCCCCAGTGGCCAGCAGGCAGGCAACTCAGGAGACACAAAGCAAGAGACAAGACAGGCAGGTTCTCTGAGGACTTAAATACTCCCTCATCACAGAGGGTGGGGGATATGGGGGGGGGGGCTTACAACAGATGGTGGCCCAGGGGAGGGGGGGGCTCCACAGGATGCTGAAAGTTTCATTCCACCGGGTGCCTGGGCCACAGTAAAGAGCAGGTCAGCTGAGGCCAACCCCCGTGAGGCACATCTAAACCCCAGGGAGGGGTTCAAATGAAAGGAGCGGGAAGGGGGGTCCCTGAGGCTTTTCGCCCCTCCCTGGAAGACAGACACAGGTGTGGCCACTGCCATCACCCAGAGCTGCAGGGAAGGCCGCAGATTCCAGGGAAGGGGTGGGGGGAGAGACCCGGCGTTAAATAGGTTATAAATAGGGCGCTGGGGCAGGGCAATACTGTGCGCACGCGCGTGCACGGGCGGCCTTCACATTCCTCACGTCTGGCCAGGGACCAGGGCCTTGGTCCTGCTCCGGGTGCTGCTGCTGGCCCCTGAGATGCTGCTGCCCACGGCTGCAGTGCCCAGCAGCTGGGCTGCTGACTGCAATCTCCCGCAGTCCTTCTCAAGTCCCAAGGCCCCCAGGCCCAAGAGTCCGGAGGCTCATGGCTGCTTTGTCTTGTTTCTGTTCTTCTGGAGTTTGGTGTGCACGACTTTGAGTGTGGTCAGGAAATTGCCGAGGAAGAGGATGAGGAAGGTGAGTGCCAGCACAAATACCTGGTCCATTCAGAGGTGCGGCACCCAGCCATGCCCGGGGCGGGGGAGGAAGGAGAGGCTCGAGTCAATTCCCCTGCTTTGGAAGAACCTGCCTCCAACCTCAGCCCCAGACCCTTAGCACAGCCATAGGAGGCACCAGCAAGGCACGGGGGTATGTGAATATGGTGGGTCCCCAAGGTGGGGTTCTGGAGGAGTGGGGTGATAATCCTCCTTTGTGCAACGACACTGAGGGGCCCCCTGACCTCTCGAATTCCTTCCTACTATTTCCTCTGAGGCCCCAGCAGCCAAGAACTCTGGGCAGCAGGAACCGAGAACCAAGGAAAAAGGGATCGGAAGGGTCCCTCCCCAAGGCAGCCCCGCCCTCTTCAAGCCCCCTACCCCCTGCCCACAGACAGACAGACAGACAGACAGACGTGGGCATGTACCTGCCATTCTTTGCATTCCTCCTGGCTGGAGAGCTCAAACAACGTGACGGCATTGTAGAGTTGCCAGAACTGGAGACAGGGAGACAGGCAGCACTCACCCATCCGTTTCCCTGCAGATCCATGTGGAAAGCCGGGGAGATGGACCAGGCTCCCCAGCATCCAAGACCAACTCCCCGCAACACTGACACCCCCGGCCCATGGAATCACAAGTGTCTCCGACACAACACCGCAGGTCGGAAGGGCCAGCTCTCGCTTCTATCCTTACTGTCCCCTGGATCCTGAGGAAATGGGGATGTGGCGGGGTGGGAGGGGGTGGTGTGTGTACCTGAGGCTTTCCACTGCTCCTTCAGAGGGACTGGCCCTACCCTGCAAGCAGTGGAGAAGACTTCCCAGACTCCCAGGAAGCGTTGAGGCTCAGGCATTAAATACATCCCAACAGGGAGCTAGGTTGGGGTGATATTTGTATGGGCGGGTATCTCATCCCAGACACCTGGGGACAGATACCTTGTGAGGGAGGGGAGCCCCAGAGATCTTCTGTTCCCGGGGGTCATCCCTGACCAGGGGTACCCACAAACAGGGGGACTCACATGGCCACAGAAAAGGAAAGGCAGGAGAAAGGTGAGGCCCCGCCACATCCAAGACTGGAACCCTTCTGTGGGAAGAGTTAGGAGGTTAAGTGTGTGTGACTCCTTAAAAAAAAAGACTACTACAGGGTCTCTCTGTTGTCCAGGCTGGCCTCAAGTTTCTGGGCTCGAGGGATCCACCCATTTCAGCCTCCCAGACAGCTGGGACTTCAGATATGCCCCACCACACCCAGCCTAATATTGTGTATATTATAAAGTTCAGACAAAAAAAAAACACAGGCATTTCCGGGCTGGAGAGATGGCTCAGTGGTTAAGGGCACCGGCGGCTCTTCCCGAGAACCCGGGTTCAGTTCCCAGCACCCACATGGCAGCTCACAACTGTCTGTAACTCCTGTTCCAGGAGATGCTCCTACAGACATATATGCAGGCAAAACACCAACGTACAGAAAATACAAATTAATTATTTTTTTAAAAATACAGGCATTTCAAGGGTATGGTTGAAAGGCCTAGCACCCTGTTGCTACCACACTCGGTGGCTGAAACAGGATCCCTGATGAACTGTAAACAGCACGTGGGGTCAGAAATGGCAGCCTCAGCCGGGCGGTGGTGGTGCACGCCTTCAATCCCAGCACTGGGAGGCAGAGCCGGGCGGATCTCTGTGAGTTCAAGGCCAGCCTGGTCTACAGAGCGAGATCCAGGACGGGCACCAAAACTACACAGAGAAACCCTGTCTCAAAACAAAAAAATAAAACAAATGGCAGCCCCAGTTTTGAGGCCTGGAAGCCTTGTGCCCTTCTGATGATGCGTCTCTATTACAGGGAGGTAGATCAGTCTTCCCAACTCTACCTGTTGCCCAGTTACTCACCCACCGTGAGGTCCAGGTGGTTCCTCTCCCCCAGGGCCCGCAATCTGTAGAGGCAGCCCCTCTGGTAATAGTACTGTAGGAACTGAACACAGCCTGTAGGGGGAGCACAGTGCCCAGGCTCAAGGAAAACACCCAAGTCTCTCCCCGCCCTCCAAGGCCAACATCCTTATCAAATGCAGGCTGGTGGGTGGGCTGAGCAGAAGGGCAGAGAGGACACCCTGGCGACCCTGGCGACCTACTTTTTTATTTTAATAAGGCACCACAGCCACACTTCTCTGTCACTCCCTCACTTCAGCGGCTGTCGCCCTCAGCAAGGAGCTACTTCCTGTGCACCTCAACGCTGCATGCGGCTCCCAGCACCGCCTTGCATAGCTTGCATTCCCAAAAGCATTTATTAAGTGCCTACTGCAAGCCTAGGGACATTCCAGAGGTTTCTACTCTGGTTGGTGCGTTCATGGGTCATTACATGTCTGTCCGTACTGTAAGGGATAAAGCGTGTTCAGACAAGTGTGAGAGACTGTGGTGGTGGTGGTGGTGGGATCTAGATTTGTGGCCCGGACTCTCTTCCCTCCCCTCCACACAGGCCAGGATGGACATCTTTCTGGGGACCTCCTCATCAGGAAACCAGGTCCCTCCCTCCCCACCCTAAGCTGGGCTTGAGCACTCACTCTGAAAAATGGAGAAGGCTAAAAACTGATTTCGAAACTTCTGATAAATGAGTCCATTAGGCCTGGAAAACAAAAACCACACACACACACACACACACACACACACACACACACACACACACACACACACACACACACACGTGGGACATGCTGTAAAACCAGACACTCATTCATACCCCCCCCCCTTTTTTTTGCTTTCATTCCAACAGAAAGGGAAGGAAATATTTCAAAGGTAAAACCGAGTCCCAGATTCCTGTCCTTTGTCCTTGAGCTGACCAGGTCACACCCATCACCCTTTCTAAAATGAAGGGACACGAAGATCACTCCGATTCCTCATGCCGCTCCCTGTCACCTCTGCCCCAGCCAACCGAAACTGGGAAACAGTCCCCAGAAAAGCTCCTGGCTGTCTTGGCAGGACCCTGGCAGCTAGGCCTCTAACCCAGTCTTTCAGTTTGCACTTGCTTTGTTCCTGACCCACGGGGAGCCCCTTCCCCAGGTACCAGCCCCCAGCTCTCACTCTACAGGGAGGGAGGACTCACCACGTCAGCATCACTCCAGACAGGAACGTGGAGACGTAATGGTGGGACACCCACCAGCCTTTGATCCTTGGTGAGAAGGAGAGAAAGAAAGTTCAGAGGAGGCAAGAAATGCGGACACCCTTCTGCTTCCTAACCTCAGAGCAGGGGCTGCCCCGCAGCTGGAATAAGAAATGGACTCAAACCAGGACCTCATCTCTTCCTGCAGAGGCACAGAAACCCAAACACACAACTTGCAGATTGGCCCAGGGACCTGTTCTGTGACCTACAGAACACATCCTCACCTAGCTCCCCAGCACTGAGATACTCCGAGCCTAACGCTACCTAGGGCCTAGGATGGCCTGAACTATGTGCTCAGATTCCTATGCTGGAGCCGAATCCCCCTGGGCCCTCCAGCATGACTGCATCTGGAGAGGTAACTCAGAGGTAACTCAGGTTAAGAGGACACAAGGGTGAAGCCTTCATTGACGGTCTTTGACCTAGTGTCTCTGTAAGAAAAAGGCCCGCAAGACCAGAGCACAGAAGGAAGACCACACAGAACACAGGATGATGGGAAGGTAACCATAGAGAGGCCTGAAACCAGCACTGATGATACCTAGATCACAGACTTCCAGTCCTCAAAGCCACAGGAAAGAAATGACTGTGTGTGTGTGTGTGTGTGTGTGTGTGTGTGTGTGTGTGTGTGTGTGTGTGTGTGTTTTATTTTATTTTCCATTCATTTGTTTTAAGGAGGTGAGACTTCAACTTTGAGCATTAGGGACACTCTACCACCAAGCTTCATTTCCAATCTTAACTTTCATTGCATTGTGTTTTTACCTGCATGTATGTCTGCTTGGGGGTGTTGAATACCCTGGAACTGGAGTTACAGATAGTTATGAGCTGCCGTGTGGGTGCTGGGAAGTGAACCCGGGACTTTTGGAAGAGTAGCCAGTGCTCTTAACCACTGAGCCATCTCTCCAGCCCCCGCCTGTGTGTGAAGATGCCCAGTGTGTGGTATCACGTGGCAGCCTCACAGACGGATACAGGTCCTTTGTGCATGCTGTCCTTCCGGCTCCTCTCTTTTTTCCTTGCTAGGCTCTGGGGTCCCCAATTGAGGTTCAGACCCCACTTCTACCCAAAGGCCTTCCCTGACTACACTGCCTAAAACAGTTCCACCACCCCATTAGGGATAGAAATCTGGTTCTCATTTTTCTCAGGAGGCAGAGGCAGGCTTGTGAGTTCAAGTTCAAGACCAGCCTGGGCTATATAATGAGCCCGTCTCAAAAGAGTAGAGGGGACCATGCGGATCTGCCGTCAGGGAAGGGGATGCTAAGGCCCTCTTTGCAAAAGGAAGAAGAGTCTATGGAGTGCAGCTGACATGGCTCTACACTGTCACCTCCTCTACCGAAGGCAGGTGACAACATGAGTGAAATCATGTTCAGGAACTGTGGCTACTGAGAGAGGTCGCCTGAAGCCAGGCCTGGTGACACACGCCTGTAATCCCCACACACGGAAGGTTGTGACGGGAGGATCTTGAGCTCAAGGCCAGCATGGACAACATATTGAGACCCTTGTCTCAAATACAAAGAAAGAGGAGCTGGAGAGATGGCTCAGTGGTTAGGAAGAGCACCCACTGCTCTTCTAAAGGCCCTGAGTTCAGTTCCCAGTACCCGCGTTAGGTGCCTCCCAGCCAACTATAACTCAACTTCCAGGGGATCCAACAGCTTTGGCCTCTGTCTTAGGGTTTCTATAGCTGCAACAAAACACCACAAAGCAAGCTGGGGAGGAAAGGGTCTATTCGGCTTACACTTCCACATTGCTGTTCATCACTAAAGTAAGTCAGGACAGGAACTCAAACAGGGCAGGATCCTGGAGGCAGGAGCTGATGCAGAGGCCATGGAGGGGAGCTGCTCACTGGCGTGCTTCCCCTGGCTTTCTCAGCCTGCTTTCTTATAGAACCCAGGACCATCAGCCCAAGGATGTCACCACCCACCGTGGGCTGGGCCCTCCCCCACTGATCACTGATTGAGAAAATGCCTTACAGCGGGATCTCGTGGAGACATCTCCTCAACTGGAGGCTCCTTCCTCTCTGATGACTCTGGCTTGTGTCAAGGAGACACACAGAACCAGCCAGGACAGCCTCCATAGGCACCTGCACTCACGTGTTCATAGCCACATGCATACACATACTCCTACACACGATTAAAAATTACAAGAGAGAGAAAAAGGGGAAAAGCAGTAGTGGGTCTAAATGCCACCAACACAGAGGTGACAGGGGGATCAGGATAAGACACTGACTTCTTTGTCTTCGGCTCCCAGTCAGTCCTAACAGTCCTTTTACCTTATAGCATCTAAAAGACCCTGGCTCCAATTTCCTAACAGTAAAGGCAGTTAGCCAGATCCTCAGACTTTCTGCTCAACAAGCAACCAAGAGGTCTCCCTGCCACCTCCCCAGAGCTTTGCAAGGCCATGCCACAGCCCTCGGATCTTGGCCACCCCCGGGCTCCTTTGTCCTAGTCCCCACAAAGCTCCCCTGAGAAACGCCCTCTCCTGGTGCGGGGAGCAGTTGGGGCTGGATACAGACCCTGGGCAACAAGCCTGACTGAGCAGCAGCTTTTAATTTCACAGCTCGCTGTGCCCAGGGCCCAGCTCTGACAGATGCCACCAATAAACACAGCTCGGTGACATTGGGTGAAAAGTAGAAATCCACCTTTTTCCCCACGGCTTCGCGCTCATGAGCAACCATGCCATCATCTGCACACCCCAAGGCTCCAGGCCGGTTCTGGGCTTGTGTTTATGTAACAGCTTCCATTGTGATAGAATTCAGATACTCCACAATTCAGGGCGTTTAGTCTTTTCACAGAGCTGTGCAACCATCACCATGATCCACTGGAGACCTTTGTTTCACCCCTGTTAGACTTGGACCTGTTTGCTATAGAAATGCAGCTTCGCAGGGCGCTTGTGGGCTCCGGGAGGAGCAGGTGCACTTGCGTCTAGAATGCAGGGACAGAATGTACTAGTCTCTGGGCACTGTGGGGGTGTGTGGGGGGGGAGCTCACTGCTTCTCCCTGCAGGACACATCAGCCAGCGCACAGGCTGGGGAGAGGAGCACCAGGCACTCACTGTGCGGCACCCAGGTAGCTTCTGGTTTCACGCTTTGGATTTTTAGAGTAGCTGGTGGGATGACTCCTGCATTGCAGATTCTCTCTCTCTCTCTCTGCCTGCTCCCTTCTGGATACATCTGTTCTAAGTATAGCCCCTAAAAAAGCCAGCGGGAGCCCGGGACCATGGCTGGCGTCTTGGAATAAGTCAACATGACTCCTGCCGATTCACTAGTCATGTGGGCCCAGAAGGAAAGGCTCTTCTGCCATCTGCCAATCACCACACCAGCCGTTCTGGTTCCCAGGCCTCTGCTTCCTTATGGGGCAGCACCTCACCTAGGGGAAGAGGAATTTTGTCTGGACACTCAGCTCAGAGCGAGCCCTCTGGGTTCTACAGCCCTCCAGCCAGTGATTGGTTCAGAAGTCAGCAAGTGTCTCAAGCTCAGCCTATCAGAAGAGTGTCTCAAGACTCTCCACGCTGAGGTGGCTGATGAGCCAGATTGGGCTGTCAAGAGCAAAGTGTGTGTGGGGGGAGGTAGCCAACGGGGCTATGAACCTTGCTGGAGCTCTTCGTGCACCCTTGAACTTCCCAGCTGAAGAACAGTAAGTGCCTTCAGATTCGGTCCCTGTTAGGTGGGTTTCTCAAGGGAAAGCTGACTTCTTGACTGAGCTCACGAGTGTGCCGTCTGCAGTGGGAGGCACCAGACTCACCCAGGATGGCTCCATCTCAAAGTAAGGCAGTCCGCCCCCCCCCTCCAGGCCTGCTTTCCCTGACTTCCTTCTGTTCCAATTCTGCTCCCAGGTACAAAACAGGGATGAGGAGAATGGGCTTAGGGAAGCCCATCCTGGGCAACAGGTCTCCAGGAGGCCTGTGTGGTTCAGGTCTGCTGTCCCAGGACACCTGGGTATCCCCAAAGACCGCTCCTCACTAAAGAGCCCAGATTTCATTAATCTCAGCAAGACTTATGGGTGTTTACTGGGCACCAGCCTGCACAGGCCCTGTGGTGTTTAAGGGGTGCGAGGAGCCAGCGTGGGACCGCTCAGTGGGAGGGGCACTTGTTGCCAAGGCTGACAACCTGAATTCAATCCCCAGGGCCTTCATGGCGGAGGAGATAACTGACACCCACAGGTTATGCTTAACCTTCTCTCTACATGCACCCGGTGGCATGTGCATGCCACACACTCACAGACAATAAATGTTAAAAAAAATTAAGATGTACACAATTGCATGTGCACACTCATATACACAGAGACAATAAACAACTGTAAAGAATTAAGACATACATAGTTGTACATGCATGCACAAGAAACCCTGTCTCGAAAACAAACAAACAAATAAAATTAGAAAAAGACATGCACAATTGCACACCCACATATACAAATAATACACAGAAAGTAATAAATAAACGTAGAAAAAGATGCACAGAGTTGCCCACCTGCCTTGCCCTATCACCCCACAGACTGGTCATAGTTCCTGTGGTCATTCTAGAAGCTAGGATCCCCTGGGTCTATTCCAGACTCTCCTCCCCAAGCCTGGAGAAACAGTCCCACCACTGCATGGGATTGTGTGGGAAGGGCTCTTTTAAAATGTCTGTAGAGGATCCCTAGAGGCGAAGATTGAGTTATCTCAAAATCTCTAACCCAGTGTCTGCCATATGATAAATGGCACGGGCTGGGGGGGGGGTCGTACACAGCAGACCCGCACCCAAAGCTCGACGTTATAAACACTGATGCTCGTCCCTGCTCCAAGGAACCCAGAAAAGCTCCTGTTGAACTGAGGCAAGTGAGGTGTGGCTCTGGAACTCTACATTCCTGACCCCTTTAATAGCCCTGGTGAGCCTGGTCTTTCCTGGAGCTAATACCCCTTTGCTGGACCCCTGGAGCTAGAGTTACAGGCAGGTGTGAACTGATGGGTGTGGGTGCTGGGAATCGAACTCAGTCCTCTATAAGAACAATCCATGCGGGGCTGGAGAGGTGGCTCAGAGGTTAATCGCACTGCCTGCTCTTCCAGAGGTCCTGAGTTCAATTCCCAGCAACCACATGGTGGCTCACAACCATCTATAATAAGCTCTGGTGCCCTCTTCTGGCCTACAGGCACACATGCAGGCAGAACACTGTATACATAATAATAAATAAATGTTAAAAAAAATTTGTTTAAAAAAAAAAAAACAACAATCCATGCTCTTAACTGAGCTGCCTAGCACTCTTAATGTGTGTGCCTGGCAGCAGGTTTACAGGGACAGGAAGAGACCGGCAACCAGAAAGTTAAAAAAAAAAAAGGCAGGGGGGGGTGAGGGTGTTGATCTAGGTGTGGTGGCACATGCATTTAACCCCAGCATTTGGGAGCCAGAAGGGGGGAAATCTGTGAGTCCAAGGGCGGCCTGGTCTACATAACGAGTTCCAGGCCAGCCAGGGCTACGTCAGTCAGACCCTGTTTCAACAAAAAGGTGGGAGAGCTGTTGCGGGACACGGTGGAACACACCTGCCATCCCAGCCCCCGGGGCAGCGGCGAAAGCAGGAGCCCAGGCTGGGCTTCTCCTGAAGACTCGTTCTCAATAGACAAAAAAGAAAACCAAATGAATAAAAAAGACGGGAGCGGGTTGATTGACGACGCGAGGAACCCGTGGCGCGGGTGGTGTACGGAGAGGGTAACAGTGGCATGGACAAGGACCAGGAGGAGGGCAGTGTGAGGACACTGACGTCCTCTGCAGGCCACAGGCTATGCCCCTAAGCACGGCTGTGCCTCCTCGGCAGGCTGCACCGTCCCCACCTCTCGGCTCAGTGTTCAGGTTCCAGCACGCAGGAAGAACCCTGCTGCAAGAGATCACCAGGCAGAAAGTGAGCTGGTGTTCTGTGATTGCGAGGGTTGACAGATGACCCAGTTTGGGGTTTTTTGGGGGAGGTATGTCTTTGTATAGCCCCGGCTGTCCCGGATCTCACTCTGTGGATCAGGCTGGCCTCGAACTCACAGAGATCTGCCTGCCTCTCGAGTGCGGGGGAGTAAAGGCGTGCGCCACCACTGCTAGGATATTTCAGATCTTTTAAAAATATTTTAATTACATTTACTTATTTATTATGGGTGGGAGTGTATGGAGGTCAGAAAGCAACTTTATAGTTGGTTCTCTCCTTCCATTATGTGGGTCCCAGGAACTGAAGTCAAGTCGAGACTTTGTGGCAAGAGCCTTTACCCACTGAGCAATCCTGCCAGCCCCAAATCATTGATCTTTTAAAAATACACCCCCACCCCCGCTCCCGAGACAGAGTTTCTCTCTGTAACAGCCTTGGCTGTCCTGGAACTCGCTCTGTAGCCCAGGCTGGCCTCGAACTCACAGAGACCCACCTGGCTGTGCCTCCTGAGTGCTGGGATTAAAGGCGTGCACTACCACCGCCCAATTTAAAAATACTTTTTTTTAAAAAAAAAACTTTTAAAAATGTATTTTTATTTTATGTGTATGGCTGTTTTGCATATATGTGCTCCACATGTGTGCTCAGTGTCCTCAGAGGCCAGAAGACGGTGCTGAATCCCCCGAGGCTGGAGTTATATTGATGGTTGTGAGCCACCAAATGGGTGCTAGGAACCACACATGGGTCCTCTGCAGGAGTAACAAGTGCCCTTAACTGCTGAGCCGTCTCTCCAGCCCCCAAATCATGGATCTTAACTGGGACCTAAGACTCTGCTCAGAGGCGGGCAGAGCAGACAAAAGATAAAAAAGAAAAAACAGTAGGTCTTCCTGAATTTAGACGCACGGGGAACCTCCTTCCTAGATTCGTACACTGACATTGAAACATGGTGGCTCTCCCAGGGACGCTGGAACAATCCAAAGAGGCGCCAGGGCCTGCCCAGCGCTCCAGAGCTGCTCAGAGACTCCCCCCCCACCCCCTGCCAAGACCCTCATCACTGGTCCACTCTCCTCTTCCCTTCTCTTGTGGAAGACATTCCGCTCCTTTCACCAAAACCCATTCATCCTCCCAGGAACCATGTCCCCTGGGGCCCACCCCCACCCCCAACACTTCCTTCTATGTGCTGAGGGACCCAGGGGAAGGTGATGCTCACGTGTGGGGAGCGGAGGAAGCCCTGATGAATGTGTGCTGTTAGAAGGAGCACAGTCAGGTCCAAGGCCTCCAAGCCTCAGACCTCCAACGAAATGGCAAAGCCAACCCTGAGCTGGGGAAACGGCAAAGCCTTCTTCCCTCCTGGTCCAGTACGAATGCCGATGGTCACATGCACAAAATGTCCACTGTAGCTTTCTTCCCCCAGGTATTTCCAGACTAAAGATTGCTCCCCTACAGAGACCTCTCCTATTGAGATCAGCGAAACCTGTCTCCTTGGTCCAGCTGTATCCCAGGACCCTGCCTCTTTGTTTATCTGCATGTAGTAGCCTGATTCCTTGTTCAGCTGCGTGCAGTCCCAAAGCTCTATGGTTATCAACTCTGTGTCATAAACATACGGAGCTGCTGGAGTACTGCTGTCCACCTGAGCCCATCCGAGAGCCCAGTCCACCTGGACCCGGTTATTTCCGTGTGTCTGTGTCTGTGTGTCCGTGTGTATGTGCCCGTGTGTGTGTGTGTGTGTGTGTGTGTGTGTGTGTGTGTTTGCCTTTTCTTCATTCCCTCCATGCCCCAGTCAGCTCTGTTCCTGGAGCTGTGATGGACACAGCACTCAAGCCTGGCCAATCACAGCCTTGCATTCTCCGGTGACAGTGACTGGTTCAGAGATAGGCACATGGTCCAGCCTGCACCCAGCCAACGGGTCAAGGCTGGTGAGACGCTCAGAAGAAAGGAACGGTGCAGTTCGCTGGGAGAGATGACGTACACTCAGCGTCATTGTAGCACCCTACACGGAGCCTGAGAACAGACGGCACAGAATGGGAGGGTGAGAGACGGAGAGAAACTGAGTCTCACTCACAGTGTCTGAGTCCTGAATGAAGCCTTACCTGAAGTCAGTCCCGGGGAACCTGTTTTTTTATGAGATGAAAGATTTCCAAGGACATGAGATCAAATCTAATGACATGAAATCAGTCTGACTTGGGGTTCCTGTTGCTTGTCAGCAAGAGACTGACCATAAAGTGGGTGACATCACACCAACTGCATCAGGCATGGTCTCCCCCGCCCTGGGTATCAACGTTTCTCTTCAGCTCCCCGTTCCCCCAAATGACCATCCCACCAGCCAGGCCTCTAGTTACCTGGAGCCATTGCTGATGAGAATGCTCTCCCGAATGGTCAAGGTGCAGTAGTACCACACCAGCAGGAAGTTGAAAACTTCATCTGTCACCCTAGGGAAGGAGACTGCGTGAGCTCTCCCCTCGGCCTGACAGGACAGCCAGGACCAGAACGGCCAACGGTCCACACCAGTCCTTGGGTGCCTCCCCCTGCCGCCTCCCCCCAGACCCTGTGCCCCACCTCCACCCGGCCCCCGCTACGTCCCAAGGTCTAGCAGAGGCTCCCTCCCTAGCCATCCAGTTCACACAGCCACTGGAATGTAACAGGTTTCAGCTGAAAAATGCCAATGATTGATGATGGCCATGGGAGAGAGACGCAGAAGAGCTTTCTTGGAACTCAGAACCAACACGGTCCTGCAACATCCTGACCTCTTATTCCGGCCTCCGGGGCGGTGACAGAAAGTGTTTTTGCTGTGTTCTCCAGTTGGTGAAACTTTGTCCAAGAGATCATTAGAGACTTGTGTGTAAGAGGAGAGGAAAAACGGGGACGTCCAGACTCTAGATGGAGCTTAACCATGGCTTAGAATGTGACACACCACAGGCTTCCCAGGGAGGAACCCCGAGGCCCCAGGGTAAGGGCCTTGGACTGGACACCAACAACTCTCTCTTTCAGAGGGGCAGATGAGCAGGCAGTACTTGTGTGCGCGGCCTTTGCCCTCGGGGTCACAAGCCGGGCACTGGCAGCAGGCAGGCATGAACTAAGAGCCTGCAAGGGCCTCTGTTGGGAAATTCAAGTAGCCAGGCCAGCAGCTGGACTCTCAGCAAAGGGCACGCCAGGAAATAAACCTTGACACTTAGGCCAAATGCCTAAGCCGTACTTGGCTGCCTCCCCCTTTACGGCAGGAAACCCAGGCAGAGAAAGGAGGACCAGACCCTCTTGGCAGTATGGGTCCTGTCTCAGCCCTCCCTCTCTTCTCAGTCAGCGATGGGCAGAAACTGAGTGCTACCCACACACAGTGGGAGCTCACTGAGCGGCTATAACCCTATGAGGTATGGCCTGCTGCCACTGTCCAACAAAGGGAGAGACTGAGGACCCCACAGGGAACCTGCCCATAGACACAGCCATTCAGTCTCAAAGCCAGAATTTAAATCCAGGCAGCCTGGGATGGCTCTTCTTGTTCTCCCATGCATCCATCTCTCTATGTATAGCAGTCTTGACTCTTTCTTTGAGGGAGGGTCCCATACATCCTACACTGGCCTCCAACTCTCCTGTAGCCAGTGACGACCTTGAGTTTCTGATCCTCCTGCCTCCGCTCTCTGAGAGCTGGGATTACAGGGATGCAACACCAAACCTGGCTTCTCCGGCTCTGGAGACTGACCCCAGGGTCTCCTTGCATCCCAAGCAAGCCTCGAGTTACAGCCTCGGCCCTACTGATCTACTTAGTATGAAATCGAGATGTAATCCACATACCATACAATTTTCCCTTTTAAAGCATGTAAGGCAGCTAGAAGCCGAGGATCTCTGTGAATTCTAGGCCAGCCTGGCCTTAAAAAAAAAAAAAAAAAAAAAAAAAAAAAAAAAAAAAAAATTTTTTTTTTTTTTTTTTTTTGGTTTTTCGAGACAGGGTTTCTCTGTGTATGTAGCTTTGCACCTTCCCTGGGACTCACTTGGTAGTCCAGGCTGGCCTCGAACTCATAGAGATCTGCCTGGTTCTGCCTCCCGAGTGCTGGGATTAAAGGCATGCGCCACCACTGCCTGGCTAAAAGAATTTTTAAAGAAGATGTAATGTGATGTCTTTTGTTCATTTTTGTTATACCACTGATAATTCCAGGGTATTCTATCATTCTCAAAAGGAAATGCTGCTGCCCATGAATGGTCATTCCCCATTCCTGCTTCCCCTGGCAAGTTCTGCTCCCCGCTGTGTTGTCTCTGAACCCGCCCCCCCTTTTGGACATTTCCTATCAATGGACATATACAATACGTGGCCTTTGTACCTGGCGTCTCTCTCACTTAGCATGATGCTGGCACAGCTCACCCATGCATGTTAGCACTGCACTCCATGTTAGGGCTGTGTGACATTCCGGGGTCTACATAAACCACACCGGACCATCAAGGACTACATCTGGAGGCCCTGACAGCAGCTAGTCCATGAAGCTTGCTAGACGGATGGGGGATGGGCAGGGATGCTACTTCCTGGCAGTCAGAACTGGTCCTTCCCCACCCTGTACTAGGCACAGGCTGGGGAAACAACAGCCTGCCTCCCTGAGGACTCCTTCCTCACACCCCCATGCCCTCCCCCACCCCCCCATGCCCTCCCCCACACCCCCATGCCCTTCCCCACACCCCACCGTGCCCCAGTACCTGTAGTGAAGGATGAAGCGACATGCCACAGCTCCCAGAAGCAGGATTATGGTCAGGTAGAGCTTAAACTTCTCATACTCGTCCTTGTACGCAAACCTGCCATGACAGACACATCCCAGGAAAGGTCTCGTATTGCTACCACCCCGCTCTCCCACATCCTGCCCACAGATCTACAGCAGAACCTGGCCTTCAGCTAGTGATGTCTAGTGAGGGAAAGAGGACCAAGTACAGAAGATACCAGCTCCTGGGTTCTGGGGCCATGTTGGGGGCAGACAAGGGTCAAAGACAAGTTCTCTACCCTCACCTAACGATTGCAGCAGAAACAAGGACCGATGCCACCTGGAAATGTCACTAGATTGGTTAGGCAGGACTCTATTCTCCAGAACAAATGCTGTATCAGGTGTAAGAAAGAATAGATGTCACTCTCGTGGGAACTGGGGGTGGGGGGTGGGGTCCTATCCACCAACATACTGACTCCGGGAAAGGAAGAAAGGGAGGTCCCCCAAGTGCTCCCCCACTGAGGTGGGTAGGGTCAGAAGGCCAGAAAGCCAGAGCCTCAACTGCTAACCAGTTTTGATCCATGCAAAAACCCTCGCTTCCACCCACGGTCCCCCAGTAAAAGGCCCAAGAGGCTGCCTTCCTTGGAGTCGGTCGGTCGGGATCCGGGCATACTCACTTGGCCTGGTTGCTGAGGAGAGTCACATTCACATTGCCAAGAACCAGATTCAAGTAGAGCCTGGAAGGAAAGACCTGTGAGGATGCAACCAACACTTTTCAAGCTCAGTGAATACACACGGAGCGCCTCACATCAGAAAACAGGACGCTCAGACTAACGTCAGATGGGCCCCACAATGGCTGAGAACAATGGTTAACCAGAGAGCGTGGTAACCGCACTCCTGACTACGGTATGACCAGCTGTTTCCCCACTGAAGCCAACTTACAGGCCAGATCTCCCAGCCTCCTTGGCAGCCAGACAAAAGCAGGTAACTAACTTACAGCCAAAGAGCCAAAGACACTTATCCAACATCTAGGTTAATTTTAAAAAAGATTCTAGGCCAGCTGGGAGGTGGTGGCGCACACCTTTAATCCCAGCACTCGGGCAGGAGAGGCGGGTGGATCTCTGAGTTCCAGGCCAGCCTGGGCTACAAAGCGAGTTCCAGGACAGCCAGGACTACACAGAGAAACCCTGTCTCAAAAACCATACACACACACACACACACACACACACACACACACACACACACACAAAGATTCTAGGCCAATGAGAGTTGGTGGATAAAAGTACAGGCCGCTAAGCCTGATGACCCAAGTTCGATCCCTGGAACCCACATGATAGAAGGAGGGAACAAACAGACTCCTGCAAGGTGTCCTCTGACCTCCACACACACACTAAGGACATGTGAGTGCCCACAAACATGCACCAACATAAATGAACATAGAAACATGAGCATTCATTTCCACTGGTTAAAGAACACTTGTTCCTCTTGTGTAGGTTGGAGTCACGGTATGGTATCTGTTTATCTGCTACAAGACATGGCAGCTGTGTCTTGGAAAAAGGGATTGCTTTCTTCCCTCTTTTTTCCCTTCCTACGACTGTGATGGTGGGAACTGTCTTTGTCCTCAAGGAAGAAGACAGCTGCTAAGGGGTAGTGAGGCATTGGTCGGAGGAACTATCGGCCCCTTGATGGTCTCATGAGCCCATGGCGCTTGGCTTCTTACCTCTAATTCTTCATGACAGAGAAAAGTGAACTCTCACACTCAGGTCCTCTGCAAGAGTAACAAGTGCTCTCTTTAACCACCTGAGCCATGGCTCTAGCCCCAGGAGAAGCTCTCTTATGTGAACCATGGCATGGCTAGGCCTCTCTCTGTTCACCAGCCTGTGCTCTAACACACTAACAAAGGTGCACACAAAGGCTCCTTGAGACCCCGAGGGAGAAAAGGGTAAATTTCTATCAGTGATAGGCTTTGGAAAGACCTCACTGAGGCGATGGCATTTGAACTGAGCTTGGAAGAGTAAGAAGCTGGAGAGGAGGAATGGGGGGTGGGGGCGGGCCTTCGTTCCAGCTTCGAGCGGCTTTTCTGAAGCACTGCTAGTCTGAAGGAGATGTGAAGTATTGAGAGGACATCTGGATTCCTTACCTAGCACTCAGTCCCTAGATCCTGCAAGAGTAATGTAATCCCTTCGGAGAATAGGCCCCACCACGGTCCAAAAGCTGATAAAAGCAGTACCTCCTCCTCCTGATTGGAGTAAGAAAGCTCACGGAACACAGCTAACCCAATAAAAACCCACCCTAGCATTTTAAATCCCCAAGACCACTGAGGGGCCAGATTTTTTTCTATTAGAAAGGCTAGGCAGGAGCAAGCCTGGCCTGGCTGGGGAGTAGTTTACAGAAAAAGGCTGCCTATGAATTGAACAGACATACATAGTTGAAAAGACAGTAAGAAAAAAAAAGTTTAAAGAGAAGCAGGTTCTACCAGCATTTAATGGCAGGACCCATTCATACCTGAGCTATATCTGTGTTATCTGAGCTATAAACCCCTCCTTTCTTCTTAAACAACTCTCTGAGTTGTCTACCCCGTGTGACAGAGGCCCCCCACCTGAGGCAAAATGCCCGCACAGGTGGGGAAGTGAGTCTGAGCAACACAGTCCTAGAGGTCATGAATGATGGAGGGAGGTCTTGAATGATGGAGGGAGGTCATGAATGATGGAGGGAGGTCATGAATGATGATGGAGGGAGGTCATGAATGATGATGGAGGGAGGTCATGAATGATGGAGGGAGGGTGCTGTTAATAGGACAGCCAACTAACGTGGGGCGTTTTCAATCCAAATACAACAAGAAAGGAAAACGGAGGGATGGGTCACAATGCCCTGGAGCCACCATGTTAATACTCACCTGGTGCCGGGCGGTGGTGGAGCACGCCTTTAATCCCAGCACTCGGGAGGCAGAGGCAGGCGGATCTCTGTGAATTCGAGGCCAGCCTGGTCTACCAAGTGAGTTCCAGGACAGGCACCAAAACTACACAGAGAAACCCTGTCTAGAAAAACCAAAAAATACTCATCTGGCTGAAGCTTAACAGGAATCTTCCCCCTCCAGGAAAGATCTGACTCCATGCCAGGCTAAATCCTGCTTCAAAAACAGAGAGTAACTAAGGGCAGAGTGTGGCACACACCTGTAATTACAGCACTCAAGAGGTTGAGGCAGGAGGATCACCTCAAGTTTGAGGGCAGCTTGGTCTACAGAGAGTTCCAGGCCAGTCAGAGCAATATAGTGAGGCCTTTCCTTTGAAAAAAAAAAAAGGGGGGGGGGTTAGGGATGTAGCTGAGTCTAGAACACTACCCAGCATGCCAGGATGCCCTGGTTTCAACCCCTGGGGGAAACAGGGGGGAGAACACTTCAGTCTAATACAGTAGGCTATTGAGAATAAAATGTCTGCTGCCACGAACGGGCATGCCCAGTACAATGCTGGGCATGCAAAACGCACTCAATACATGTTGGCTCTCTTGAGAGAGAACACTTTCCATCTACCCCAGGTGGCACACACAGGTATCAGGTGCCAGCTCCCAAGAGTCATCCCGGGGAGGTCACTCCCAGCCACAGGGGAAGGACGGTAGCTCCTCCCGGAATGGGAGAAGCAGGTACAGAAGTGGCCCCTTGGAATCTCACACCCCAGCAGGGAGCGGGGACCCGCAACAGGAATCGGAGGGTTCCTACTCCTACCCATTCTTCTTCGGCAGGTAGGCCTCCATGTCGAAGAAGACATTCTGCCGCTCCTTGATGTTGGCGCCTATCTGCTGAATGAGCTCCGCCTCCTCTTGACTGGAATGGCGCTTGTACCTGTAATGGGAGTGAAGCTGAGCCCCTGCAGCCTTGGGGCCTTGGGGACGTCACTTCCCATGCCTGACAGATAAGGGTGGCATCCACCAACAATGGCCACGTAAAGATGACGTGAGGAGATGCAGTGAAGCATCTGGGATGAACGATACTCAGCCTACAGGAGCTGACGGACTTGCGTGGGTGGCTAAGCCGTTTTCCTCTACTGTAACAGTACTTAAAGCTAAGTCCTAGGAGGACGGACTGAGAGGCACGGGGAAGTACTAGCAGTCAACCAGTCAGGGTCTTCCTGTTGCTCTTTGGAGAGATGCAAGGATCAAAACTAGAAAACCAAGCTGGAGGCGGGTGTGGTGGCATGGGCTTGTAAACCCGACACTTGGGAGATGGAGGTGGGCGGGGTGTGGTGGCCCGCGCCTTTAATCCCGACACTCCACTCGGGAGGCAGAGGCAGGTGGATCTCTGAGTTTGAGGCCAGCCTGGTCTACCAAGCAAATTCCAGAATAGCCAGGGCTCCACAAACCAATCCTGTCTTGAAAAAACAAATGCTCTGTTTGCCCCTCCCCCCCCACAAAAAAAAAGAGGAAGGAGCAGAGACACTTGGGAGATGGAGACAGAAGGATTCAGAGTTCAGGTCATCCTTGGATAGAGCCAGTTTGAGGTCAGCTTGGGCTACATGAGACCCTGTCTTAAGAAACGAAGAAAAACAGAACCATATCGGGAGACACCACACCCTGGATTGGGAGAGTTGCTCAGTCTAGGACCCTAGCTCCCGGGTCAACCTTCCTCAGCGGGTGCTTCTCTTGTGGTGATGCTGAGCAGTGTCTATCCCAGCCGGGCTGGGAGGCTCCGCTGTATCTACTGGGGTTCTGCTGAGCACCCACAGTGTCCAGTCTGAACAGCAGACCACTATTAGAATGACAGAGGCTGAAAGCCCGTCTTCCTCAGTCAGGACGACGGGAGGGGAGCTAAGCTCAGCAGGCAGGTGGCCACCTCCGTGACCGCGAGAGCAAAAGCCAACCTAGAGAAAATTCAGAGGAAAAAAACAGAGTCCTAGAAACACACTCTGACCCCTGGGTCCAGTGATGCCTGAAGGTATCCCTGGGTTTTTTTCCATTAAAATTTCCACTTTCTTCTTAAGCCAGCTTTGAGCTGGGTTTCTGTCCTTTAGGTGGAGCTTGCTGGTGGAGTGGTCACCTCGCTCGCGTGTGCAAAGCCCTGGGTTCCAGCCCAGCGAACCCAGTACTGCATAAAAACCGTGCGTGGTGGCCGACGCCTGTAACCCCAACTCAGGAAGGGAGGAAGGAGGGCCAGAAATTCAGGGTCAACCTCCGAGTGAGGATGAGTCCTACCTTCGGAGTGAGATGATGGGGGGCGGCGGCGGCGGGCAGCAGGAGGCCCTGGGGGTGCTTTCAAGCAGCGCCCCTCTTACCTCTGGAGTGCACGCTTCAGGTCCTTGAGGTGCCGCTTCTGCTTGCTGATGGAGGCGCTGCAGAGCGTCTGGAGCGCGGTCAGCTCCTCCAGCTTCTGCTTGTAGATCCTGTGTGTCTCCTGAAGGGCAGACACGTCATTGTCACAGGGCTGGAGAGGTCTCGGGTGACAGCTATCCTGGTTACAGCCATCCAGGACTGCAACTGGCCGAGGAAGGAGGCAGGACACAGCGGCTGTGGGATAAGTGCCAGTTCTCCCCGGGGTCACTCCTTCATTCCTGAGGTGGTTTGGTTTTTTTCTTTAAGATAGAGTCTATGCGGCCCTGGTTGTCCTGGCATCACTGTGTAGACCAGGCTGGCCTTGAATAGAGATCCCCCTGCCTCTGCTGAGTGTCGGGATTAAAGGCGTGCACCTATTTCGTTCATCTGTTTGATGCTAACAACCAAACACAGTAGGACTGCCATGTGGTTTTGGTGTGTGTCTGTCTGTCTGTCTGTCTGAGGTTTGAGGCCAGTAGCTTGTGCATTCTAGGCAGATTTTCTACCACTGAAGTATATCCTCAGCCTCCTGGCCAATGTTTCCTCTTGATTTTGTGGGACCCTGTTTCACGCATCCCAGGATGGTGTTGAACTCACTACGTAGCGGAGGATGAACTTGGATATATAACTTGGACTTCTGATTCCTCCACTTCTACCTCCTGAGTATGAGGATGACACCCATATGCTAACACACCCAGTCTACGTGGTACTGGGAGTCAAACCCAGGGCTTTAGGCACACACTCTACCAAGTCAATGATAGCCCCAGTCTACCCCTTGCCAAGTCTTCGTCTACATGGTCTGGCAAAGCAGAACATGCCCAGTCCAGTTGGCCACATACCCAGTCCCAGCCAATCAGTATCCTCCAGTCGGACTGGTTCAGAGGTGAACACGTGGTTCCTATTGACCAATGAGAGCCAGTCCTGGGACTCTGGATGGACTGATTAGATAGGAGAGTATTTTTTTGCCCCCCCTGGGTATGCCCACTCTAGTCTGAGCGGGCCAAGTCTTCCTAAGAATGAAGCCAGGCATGAAAAGCGAATCCAGAGACGATATGATGAAATTCTCATAGCATCTGCTATTGCTCGGGTTTAGGTCCAAAGGTACATGCGCTGGGTCCTTAATGTCACGGTATTGAGATGTACTGGAATCTTTTTGTTTTTTTTAATTTTTATTTTATTTGCATTGGTATTTTGTCTCCAGATATGTCTATGTGAGGGTGTCAGATCTTGGAGTTATAAACAGTTGTTAGCTGCCATGTGGGTGCTGGGAATTGAACTCAGGTCCTCTGGAAGAGCAGCCAGTGCTCTTAACCACTGAGCCATCTCTCCAGCCCTGAGATGTACTGGGATCTTTAAGAGCTGGGAACAAGTCAGAGGTAACTAGGTCAAGGCAGCAGGCTGTGGAAGGACTAAGTTACAGGAGTCAGTTAAGTCTCACGGGACTAGGTCAGTACTCACAAGCGCAGACTGTGGTATACAAGTCTGGTGCTTCTCCCTCAACCTCCCAATGCATGCTCTTCCATATGCACCCACACATTCACCACGTTCATCGTGTTCCATGGTATTTTCTACCCCATGATGCACCACATGACCCTTGCCAAAGGTGGCCCTCGAGCTTGGATTCAGCCTACAGAACTATGCGCCAGAGCAGACCTCTTATCCTGCTAAAGTATCCAGTCTTAAGTATTTTATGGTAACAACACAACAAAGATTTCGGCTGTTGGGTTTGAGCCGTAGGTTGTACAGAGACCCGTAAGCTCCTTTCTACTTCCTGTTCACGTTGACTTTCTGATCCTCGCTATGAGAGAGCTCTTGCTAAGTCAACTAAGGAAAGCTCCTGTCCATCTCCCCTTCCCCCCTCCCCCTCCCCCTCAAGCCATATTCCCTGCCCCAGATGACATCACTCAATAAACGTGACATTTCATTCTTGGAAATAACCCTTCTGAGCTTTATAACGAGACTTATCCCGAATCCGGGAGAAGGCGCCACAGTGGGTTCTCAAACGGCTGCCACACTCATCTCCCAGTAAGTCACGTCTGTGAGGTGACAGGAGCAAGGAGCGGGGCAGAACATGAAACTAAGATCAATGAGCAGTGGACACAGTTCAAAGAGCCATTCTTCATTTCTTTCTCCTTCCGTCCTTTCTGGCCGATGTGCAACAAAGAGCCATTTCCTTCCTTCCCTCCCTCCCTCCTCCCCTCCCTCCCTCCTTCTCTCTCCCTCCCTCCCTTCTCCCTCCTTATTCTCTCTCCCTCTCTCCTTCTCCTCCCTCCCTCCTTCTTCTCTCTCCCTCCTTCCTTTCTTTCTGGCTAACCTGCAACTCTATGCAGACAGGAATGGACTTGAACTCAGAGACCGGAATGCCTCTTCATCCCAAGTGTTAAGATCGAAGGCACGTGCCACCACGCCTGGCTTAAACAGCCGTTTTCTTAGCTGTCACAGAAGCATGTTCAGCAGGCAGGAAAAGGAGGGGACACCAGGTGCAGAGTCTAAACTAGTATGGCTGCCAAGCAGGACCGGAAGTTAAAGCAGGGAATTAGGAAGTAAAGGAAGACAAATATCAGACGGACCGTGAACGGTGATGGGCGCCTTTAATGCAGCACTTGGGAGGCAGGGGCAGGCGGATCACCGGATCACCCATACTTCAAGCCCGGCTTGGTCTATTCAGCAAGTTCTAGGACAGCCTCAGCTGTATAGTGAGACCACAGTCACAGAAAGGAAAAAAGGGAGAAGAATTAGCAATGATATGCAAGACTGTGTGAGCCGGTCACCCCGGACCATTCATTTGCAAGGGGGCAAAGCCAGCAAGCAGTCTCTTCTCCTTCTGGGCCTCCCAGAGAGGAAAACCACGTTTTCCTAATATGCCCATTTCTCCTGAGATGACTTCAAGTTTGTGAGTAGAAGAACACCCCTCCCTACGCTCTCAGCATGTGCTTGTCTCCCGGGGGTGCGCTTCTCTTTCTGTATCGGAGGCTGTACGAAAGAAGTGGGTTTTGGAAGACTGAAAACAATACAAATCTGAAAATGTCCCAAGCTCTGTGAACATTGCAGGCCGCTGGAATCGTGGCAGCCACACACACACACACAGTTTTACTGGTTCTTCGTCACGCCCATCACACATGCCCTGTGGCCGCTTTGGTACTTCAACAGCCGAGTGAGTGGCCATGACAGAGACCATATGGCCTCCAAAGCTTAAAAAAAAAAAAAAAAAAAAAACACAACTCTCTATTTGGCCCTTTGCCAAAGAAGTTTGCCTCACCCCACCGCACCCCTGTGCCGGCCTATTAGGGAGTTAGTTGTAACCATCATACTTCTCCACAGAAATGTGCATCAGCTGTGATCAACGATATCTGCTCTATTCAGAGGCAGCTCCTAAACCTTGATGGAATATGAGGCTCTCATCTCAGACACCACAACTCACATTTTGCCAATCGTCCTTTGAAAATGTTTTCGATGACGTTTGTTTATTTATCCTATGGGTGGTTGGTTGCTGTCGGCCACAGTGTGTGTCCTGGCTGGTTTTGTGTGTCAACTTGACACAAGCTTGAGTCATCAGAGAGGAAGGAGCCTCAGCTGAGGAAATGCCTCCATGCGATTCAGCTGTAAGGCATTTTCTCAATTAGTGATCAACTGCGGGTGGGGCCCGGGGATGGGGGCACGACACCGGCAGTCCATGGTGGGTGGGGCCCTCCCTGGGCTGGCGGTCCTGGGTTCTGTGAGAGAGCAGGCTGAGCAAGCCATTGAGGAGCAGGCCAGTGAGCAGCGCCCCTCCATGGCCTCTGCATCAGCTCCTGCCTCCGGGTTCCTGCCCTGTTTAAGTTCCTGTCCTGACTTCCTTCAGTGATGAACAGTGCTGTGGAGGTGTAAGGCGAATGAATAAACCCTTTCCTCCCCAACCGGCTTTATGGCCGTGGTGTTTTGTTGCAGCAACAGAAACCCTAGGACAGTGCCCATGAGGTCAGAGGGCAGTCCGCAGGAGTGGTTCTCTCCTCCCATCATGTGGGTCCCGTTATAGAACTCAGGTCCTCAGGCTCGGGGGCAGGCAAGCACCTTCACCTGCTGAGCCAGCTTGCAGCCCAAACTGTCTCTTTTATGGCCTCTGTCCTTCAGCTCTCGGGTCCCATTCAATTTTACACTGAGCATCCATACACGTCTTTTTGTCTCTGTAACCTGAACGGAACCTCAACCCCCACCTCTCATGAACTGACATCATTTAGAGAACGTCTCTCGACTTGGGTTCCATCTGATGATTCCCGAGGATCTGGTTCTGTGTTTGTCGTGGGCTTGGACGTGGTGGTGACCTGTGCTCTGAGCTTCCTGTCAGGAGGAACGTGGTGTCTGTGACATCACTTTAGAGTGTCTGGTCACGGTGTCCCTCTGAGTCTCTAGTGTTGAGTGATCAACTTTTGCTATTTGTAATTAAGAAGGTATCTCAGGGCCAGGCCTGGAACACAGTTAAATGCCTGCCTTGCGTATGTGAGGCCCCAGCCACAGAAAGGAATAAATAAACACAATGAAATAAACTCTTGAAGAGAGATGGTGTGGAAATGAGTTTTGGATGCTTCAGTGCAACACATATCTGGAACAAAGGAGAGCCCCCCAAGACATCACAGGGAAGGCAGGGGCCCCAGATAGCACTCTAGAAGGCGGGGCCTTTGCAGGGAAGGCTCCAGCATGATAAGGGGCTACACAGCCTCCTGGCACTCTTTAGTGTCAGCTTCTACCCTGGAGAGATAAGACAAAGGCGGCGGAATCAGCAGCCAGATGCTGACCAGGCCCTCATCAGTGTGAATTAATATTTAATTTCACAAGTCAAACACGAAGACATTATCCCTGTTAAAAATTAAAACGCCAGCCACGGCTGAAGTCAGCTCTGAATAGGCCCCTTATCCAGTGGTTCCCAACCTCTGGGTCCCGACCCTTTTGAGGGTCACCTATCAGATATCCTGCATATCTGGTATTTACATTATGACTCGTAACAGGAGCAAAATTACAGTCATGAAGCAGCAACAGAAATAACGTTATGGTTGGGGGCGGTCACCAAACATGAGAACTGTACTGAAGGGTCGCAGCATCAGGGAG